AGTCCCAGCTACTCGGGAGGCTGAGGCAGTAGGATTGCTTGAGCCCAGGAGTTTGAGGTTGCTGTGAGCTAGGCTGACGCCATGGCACTCACTCTAGTCCAGGCAACAGAGTGAGACTCTGTCTCAAAAACAAACAAACAAACAAAAACTAGACCTGCAACGGATTTCACTGGCACTCCTTTGTTGGAACAGGTGTTTCCCATCAGAAGGAGTGTGAGAGTTGGTTCCATCTCATCCTTCTGACTGCTCTCATGGAAATTATGGGTGAGTTTAAAAGTAGAGAGTGGCCTTATTTGGAAGCAAAGGCATGTGCGTCTGGCTACTGAATATAACCAGTCCTGTCAGTAATTTTAGGCCTTCTTGGGATAACAGAAGGAATGCAAGTGGAAGATTTCACGGCAATAAGAAACCTTAAAACAAAAATTAGGGCAGGGGGAGCAACAACGGAGGTAATTGTCCACATGTTCTTTAATGTGCTCTCTGGTTCTAGGATGTTAAGATCTTAAGGAGAGAAATAGGGCAGGATAAGAAGCACTGCAGACAAGCAAGACAGCAGAGGCCATGCCGGAGGAGGGAGCTGCAGGATGCTTTGGAGGCACGGTCATAGCGCCAACTCTGAGGAAGCAATTGGAGAAGTGGGCTGGCCGGGTAGCTGGAAGAGAACATGAAACGCTTCATATGCTGTGTCAAGAAGAGAGGACACTGACTGATACAATAGGTTGTCTGAACGCTCCGTACACTTTCCAACACCCTGTCCTTGTTACTACTTCTTCCCTTGCCCACCATGCATGTAACTCCATTCCAGAACTCTGCATGTTGAAATCTTATCTGCATTTGAGGGTCCCATCAAATGCCTTCTTTTCCATAACAAGCCCTTCTCTTTCTTCCTTAACTGAATATGATTTTCATTGCACACCTGTCATATTCAATTTTCCTTTTATTATAACTGACTATCTACCTCACTCTTCTGGTCTAGAGGCTCTTGGCATGTGAGTGTGGGTAACCTTATAGTGAAAAGAACTATTATTTTAGAATTATATAAGGGCTGTTCTTTGATCATCCCTAAGCAGAGTTTGACACAGCATCTGATTAGGAGACTAAATGGGGTGGTATTGTTTTGACTTACCTCCCGTCTCCTTTGCAGAGAGCTGGCACACTGTGTGGTAGGGAGTGTGCCACAGGTCCTATACCTTTACTTTTATTCTTCCCTACAAAAACTCATTTATTTTAAAACCATAGCTTATTTTTTGTTGTTGTTGCAAGAGATAACAATGTACTGTTCACAATCATTATCAGTTGCACGTTATAGAGTTGAACTGATCGGGTCACACGTTCTCCCCAGTTCCTTACAGGAAGAAGGGTACACTTGGCAGGAGCCCTGGGTGGAGGTGTCGATGGCAGCGGAAAAGAGTGACGTGAACTGGAATGGAGCCCAGCTTTATTAGCACGTGTACTCACCAGTAGAGATAAAACAAATATATTCTGTGTTTATTTTTCACTGTCCCATTAACCACACAGACAGAAGAGCAGGAATAAAGGGCAAACAGTACACTACAGTGCATTTGCCTTGAATAAGTCAATTTCTTTTTTCTCAAATGAAGTTACAATCTTGTAATTAGGTCAAATTTTCACGTGCAGTCCCAGGTTAACACTTTCTTCTACCATATTAAGTCTTTTGAATTCTCCAGTCAAATGTGATTAAATGAGAATATATGCAGAATTTATATACTGTAAGTGCTCTATAACTGTGCAAATAAAAGGGAGGTAATTATGTGAACTAAAATATTTATGTAAAACTGACATCCTTTTGATCTTATCATTACAAAGGTTATAATTGCATGCCATATGTAGCTGATATTTCTGTATAAATATATAAAGATAGTTGAATGGATTTTTATTTTCAATACTGTTTGAAAAATCTAATCTAATCTAATACTATCATGAGATTTGAAAAGGGACAGTGAGAACACTAGACATATAGTAGTTTGATCAAATCATCCCCGTGATAAGCATTTTTCTAATAGTATGCTGCCTTTTTTTACATTACTGAGAACATAATTCCTACCTGTTTCTGATTTTTACAGTACTCACAGTGTGATCTGCCTTATGAATTAGCACATGCTTTTCTATGGAAGAGCTGTGAATGACGAAGTTAGTGCAGAGGCGATATGGCATAGTGAGGAAGCATGTAGAGACTGGAGCCACCTGCCTGGATACGAATCCTGACTTACTAGCTGTGACAAGTCAGGCAAATTATTAGCCTTCTCTGTGTCTCAGTTGCCCCTCCTGAAAAATACATACTAAAATACCCATTTTGTGTGATTTTAAAGTCCAAGTGAATTCATGTATTTACAGCACTCAGGATAGCATCTAGCACAGAGTAAATGTTAGCTGTTAATAGTGCTACTGTTTATCCTTTGTAAGGCTAATGAGTTTTGACATAACTTTTATTTCACATATTTTGTGGGTATAAAATACACAAACCATTTACAACCTATAGGAATAATGCTGAGTAGAAACTCTACTTTTAAACCATAGACAATGTAGCTTCTTGTAGTATGGCTGGTAGTGGAACTTATGAAAATAAGGGAGAGAGCTTCACAGGGTCCCTCGGTAACTGATGTGACTAGCATGTCTGAAAGAGACTACCTCACTTTCTGACATTTAGTATGCCATAAAAAATGTTATTTATGTATTCAATGCTCACTTCCTGTGTAATATAGATAAGGTTAAAAATATTTTTTGGAGTTCGTCAGTGTTAAGATTTTTACTTCAAGGACTGTTTTGGCTTTATTTTAAGAATTTCAACAAGGGATAGCAAAGTATCATTAACCATAAAATTTTAATGATTAGATGTTTCATGGGAAACTAATTTTATCATATGCAGTTTCAGAACATTAGGTTAAAATATATGCAGATGAAATTAATTGTGTGTTTTTTTTTTTTCCTTTTTGCCTAAAGGGCAATGCTTATTAGGTCTTTCTTGAAATCAGAAGTCTTTGAGCTACCTAAATATCTACCCACCAGGGAAGCCCCTATAACAGATAATTTTTTTTTTTTTTTTTTTGGTTCCCTATTCAAGTGAATCAGGAAACCAGCAAGAGAGATGGTAAAACACACAGTCAGGGCAAACTACACTTAGGATGCCCTTGGACCCTTCTGACCTCTGCCCCCAAACTCCCATGCATTTCCAGATCAACATTCCCACACAAGGGGACCTCTGAGCGTAGACAAAATCTGTGGTGATAAAGAGGAACTAGAAAGAGTACAGCATCAACTTACAGAGGTAGACAGCAATGGTGGCATTTGATGCATAATTAAATGAGCTTGCCAACTGTGAGTTGCCTAACCAAAGTCTTCCTGCTCATGAGTTGCTTGGGGCAGCCTTAATGTTAGGATTTATATAAGGAATGCTGTCCCTGTGGATGAAGCCACAGTGGACTTTGGTGCCAAGTTGTGGGGTTAACCAGGTGCTCAATGTTCCCTCACTGGAGAGAATTTGGGTGATTACTCTCAGTACCTATAGTCTACTCATTGCTCATAGTATCCTAAATTTTTAATTATTTATAATCTACTTTTTACATACTACATCAAAATGAATCATGGCCAAACTTTTATAAACATTATTCTTTTCTAATTTCAAAATAGCTCTTCTATGTAGAAAACTTGGAAAATTCTACTCTTAACCAAAGACATCAAATGATATACTGCTTATTTTATTTCTAGATAAAGGAACTTCTAAGATAAAGAAATATAAGTAGCGTTAAAACAATGAAATGTGTGGCATTATTTGGCATTAAAAATTTAAGAAGTCTTTCTTACCTCAAGAATAGGACACATAACTTCTGCTGTGACATCACCATGATTCTTACAGAATTTGTAGAATGCCTCAAGGTAAGACTGAAAAGGAAGAAAGATAAATAATAAATGAATGTATTTTCCTTTTAGAAATTTCTAGATCAACTTTTCACAGTTTATTAAATGCCTTAATGGAAACTGAATTACTTCTCCCATGGGGAGATATTTTATAATAAATTTGGTAGAAGTTTCACATTGCAGCATGTTGCACAGACTATGCACAGACTAGAAAAGAATTCCATAAAAGAACAAAATTGCACTTATCATAACTTATAATTACTTAACAAACACTTTTTTTTTTGCATGGTTCTTGGATTATTTCACATGGTTAATTCTTGCTATTTTAACAAGAATGCCAAGTTCTTTTCCGAGCTCAGCAAATGATTTTAGATTCAGCCCTACACTGACATTTACTCTCTGAGAGACACATTTGGCTTTGAGCATGAAGACATACTGGAAAGGCAGAAAGTCTGGGCTATGGGGTCACATTGCTTGTGTTTGAATCCCAAGTCTAATGCTTACTAGCAACTGGCTTCTGCCAAGGAAACCTTACCTCTCCATGCCTCTGTTTTCTCATCTGAGGATCAGGGATAACACAAACATCATAGTTTTGCTGGGTGGATTAAGTGAGTTAAGGCCTGTCAATTGCTTAGTGCCTTCTGTTGGTTAGGTCTCAGGGATGCCTCCTCTAAACCCATAGGTCTCATTACAAAAAGAAAAAGTGCCTGCAATATAATGCCATTTGTTTGTTTGTTTATTTATTTATTTATTTTTAGAGACAGGGTCTCATTCTGTTGTCCCGGCTAGGGTGCAGTGGCGTCATTATAGCTCACTGCAACCTCAGAATCCTGGGCTCAAGTGATCCTCCAACCTCAGCCTCCCAAAGTGCTGGGATTACAGATGTCAGCCACCACATCCAGCCAATACAATGTTTTTGAGAGGACCACATGTTTGAACATATATATATATGACATGGCAGTATATATTCAGTTACTCCGTGAGAATGTCCAAAGATGCTATGATTGTACGAGTAAAAATGGACATACTTTGCTCAGCCTGTAGTACACAGAACCACTCAAATGGTGAGTAGTAGCAAAGTGGTACCTGTGCTGTAGCGTCCCCAGATTGGTCATTCTGGTATGTTGCAAGCACACTGTTGATCAAAATTGTGTGGGCAGCTTAGCTGTGAGATTCAGGGACTCTGTACCAGGATTGAGGACAGAGGTGGATGCTACACAACAGAAGGTTTACTATGTATGTTGGTTGCTTTAAATGTATTGATATGGTTCACCCCACTCATCTATCCATTCACCTACCACCATCCAACTAACACCTTATATGTTCCAAATACTGTGCAGGGAGCTAGAAATACAGAATAGGGCATGTTATTTCTTCTCAAAAATCTTGCTGGCTGAGGGAAGCTGACATGCATGCATTTAACTAGAAGCCAGGCCAGAACTATAAATGCTATATTCCAAATATGCAAAGCTTCATAATTGCAGAAGTTGGCTAATAGGCAAAGTAATGTTTAATAAAGAACCCTAGTTATGATGTTTTGTGTAATCGAGAAAAACAATATCTGGGAAAACCATTACCTTGTACAGTTTATTGCGCAGTAATTCAATATTCAGTTCATCTAGGGTATTTTCAGACATACAGTCATGAAAGAATGGAGCTAAAAGCAGAAATCACCATACAAAATAAATGAATCATAAGCAAGATTATAAGCTGTAAAAAACATCTCCTGAACACACCACCCTCAGCTCGCCCCTGACAAGAACACTGTGGAGTTGCAATCCATAGACTCAATAGGGCTAATAATAGTGAGGACGATAAGACTTATTATTTATTAAACATTTATTATGTGTGAAGCCTAAACACCACTCATTACACTAAGCAAGTTATCAATCCTCTCAACACCTTGAAACTATTCACTTAGAGCTTACTTTTCGAAGTCCCCCTCACCCCCAATCTAATAGTAATGTTTACCATTTGCAACCTTACTACGTGCCAGGCATTGAGTTCTCCTAAAACTGTGTTTTATTTGGTTTTCAAAACTTTGTTATAATAAGATACGATTATTTCTAAAATGAGGAAACTGGAGTGAATTGAATTGCCCCAAGTCTCCTTGTTGGGACTGGGCAGAGCTTCTTGCTCAAGGCTGTCTGGTTCCAATTTCACCCGCTTCCCATCAGGCCATGCTGCTTCAGCATCCAGCATTTAATGACAACATAAATATTTTTTTTCCTTAAAATTTCTGTTTTAAACAGCAACTATTTTGACAAATGATCAATAGTGAATTGCTCTATCCACATTTCCTGACACAATTCGATGAATGACACACTTATAAAATTATCCCTTTAGCATTTTGAATACCATGACCATTGTCAGTGACAAATTATAATGAAATTAACGCTCATTTCATTATTGCTTCAGGTCATTTGACAGACACTTCTGAGGACCTCAGAAAAATGGCATTCCCAGACTTCCTAAAACAAAATGCATCCTTAGATGCAAACTTATGTAGACAGAAATCTAAAATGAAAGGATCAGAAACTAACCATATAAAACCCGGCTAGCAAATTAATTTTTTTAAGAATTACAAGTCCTGTCACTTATTTGCTATGGCCTGGTATAAAGTTCAAGGGTTTGTAGGCTGGGAGATGAGTCCCAGTTCCTTCTCTGCCACAGATGGTTCGTATGTGACCCTGAGCAGGTTGCTTCACTTGTCTTGATCTGAAAACGGAGGGAGCTAGACTAGATGATTCCTTAATGTCTCAGCCACTTCTAGGAATCTGTATGGTATGATATTGTATTCATGGGGAAAAAGTGTGAATTGAAAGTACGTTTTCTATTTTTTTGTTTGTGTTTTGTTTTTGTTTTTTTAGAGACAGGTTCTCCCTAAGTCGCCCAGGCTGGAGTGCAGTGGTGAGATCATAGCTCACTGCAGCATCAAGCTCCTGGGCTCAAACAATCTTCTAGCCATAGCCTCCCAAGTAGCTGGGACTACAGGCATGTGCCACCATGCTTGGCTAATTTACTTTTTGTAGAGACAGGGTCTTGCTATGTCCCCCAGGCTGAACTTGAATTCCCGGGCTCAAGTGATCCTCCTGCCTCAGTCTCCCAAAGTGCTGGGATTATAGGCATGAGCCACCACACCCGGCCTGAAAGTACATTTTCTCATGACTGTGATAACATACACAGGCTGCTATATAATTACTTGGGTATTCGTACCTAACGGTGTTTCCACCAGAATAGCATTGAAGAGATCTGAGGGTGTCTCTGCAATGTTGACTGCTTCCATTTCTGTGAAACGGCCCAATGGATGGCACTTCACCAGAATTTCTTTCACAGACTTTTTTTGCAATGCACCATTCATCAGCAGAATCACATTGTCTATCATGTAACTGCACCTGGTTTGGAAGACAACTCAATCATTAGGAAAACAGCTGCATAAGGATAAGAAGCATCCCACAAGTAAAAAATAGAAACTGTTCAGGCACATGAGATAAAAGAGATGAATCTCTTTTTATTTTAAACTGTGGGGTTTAGATGTGGATGGGGGAAAATATCTGACCTCTGGGGGCATCATAATTTGAAAAGCCACATTCAATATAATGACAATGCTATGACAACTAACTAAAGCTAAATAAAACCTTGGCTGGTGGGAATGTGTGAAGGTGGCCCCTACGCAGTAATTGTCGAAGGTGATGGGGTGGGGGAGGTGAGGGTGTGAAATTGTTTAGCTCAACAGAATGGAGACGACTGGAAAAATTGAGAAACACAGACCTAGAGCATTTTATTCTACTTTTAAAACTGACTGCTGTACTTGAATAAGCAATGAATCCTATCACTGAGGATTCAAAATTTAATGCTAAAAAAAATTCTGTATTCCTTTTCTCCTATGAGATCAGACAGTGAGTTTTCTAGCCTACCCTCCTCAGATCCCTGAGAGTTCATAAGTTCACAATTTATGTGATTTCCTTCTTTGATATAAGCTCTGCCCAGGATATTCTGGGTGCACGTGCTTGTTCACTCGTGCGCTCGGCACCTAGGATATTCCAAGCAATGAGGTGGAGAAGTAAATGAGACCCAGTTCCTTCCTTCACGGAGAATACAGCTTGAGGGAGGAACTGGACAAAGAGTCACTTAAAATAAATGACAATGAAGCACACGTGCTATGCCAAAGAAATTATAGGGTGGTGTGGGGATATGTAGCTGGGCACTAGACCAGTTCAGAGGTCAGACATCCTAGGGAAGTGACATTCAGGCTGAAACTTGAAGGATGAGTAGAAGTTGTCCAGGCAAAAGGGGCTGCAATTGGGGGAAAGAGTGTTGGAAGGCAGAGGAAGAGCACGGGAAAACCCCAGAGATAAGAGCACAGGCCTATTCAGCCTGTTTCCTTTGCCTGGGGCTGAGCGCTGGAGGAGCGGCTGAGTGTGCCGGGCCTGAAAGGCAGCAGCAGGAATTCGGATGTTAAGGGCAATGGAAGACACTGAATGATAAAAAGCTGAAGGGAGTATTAGGAGCTATGTAATAAATATTAAAACAGGAGAAGTGGTAAACACACGCTTATGTAGTGGGGTGCTGTGCAAAAAGTTGTCTTATTTAGTCATGATAACAACCCTGCGAGGTAGGTACTATTATTCTCTCTATTTTACAGATGAGGAACTGGAGGCCCAGAGAGATAAACATCTAGCCCACGATGGCAGCCACAGCTACAAACGGGAGAGCTGAGAGTTGGGAGGGGGCAGTTTAAAGGGGGAAGCCCAAGTCTTAGAAATAATTAGGATCACACTTTCTAGAGGGCATGGAAAGAGTTCTTCCCTGAGAATTCTGGGGAACACCAACATTTAAGGACCTTGAAGGCAACTCAGAGGAATGACTGGACTGGAGGAGAAGAACCAGGGAAGAGAATTTTAGGACATTCCAGAGAGTTCTAGAAAGAAGTGATCAGAATGGTAATTCAAGACCTTCAAGTAGACATCCATAGGATATAGCAACTACGAGGTCATCCGAGAACGCAGTGGAAACCCTATCAGTGGTCTGTGTTTGCGGGAGAGAAGAGGGTGGCAGGCAGAAGCCTGACCACTATGTGCTTAAAATGAATGCGAAGTCAAGAGGCTTAAAAGTAGAGTTCACACTGCACGTTGGCCTTAAAGGCTGGGGGAGATAACTATGGAGATCCAGGAGCCAAGGAAGCTTTTGATTTTTAGTTTTAGTATTTGTGCATTTAAGGTGGGAGAGAAGCAAAGACACTTAAGCGCTGAGGAGAAAGAGGTAGTCGCGAAGGTGAGGTCAGAAGAGGGAGGGGACAGTCCACTGATGAACCGAGGTTCCCTAGGTTTGACCTCCATGGGAGGCTTGGCCACTGCGGCAAGACAAACTTGAGAAATGTCCCCCTTCTCTGGATGAAAATTAACCTGGACACTTAGAAACATTGTCACTGGAGTGTGGCTGTGTGGACACAGGCTTCCTGTACAAGAATTCATTTCTGGCTGGAAAAGCAAGCTCCTTCGTTATGGAGCTTCTACAGTTTAGCCCAATAAAAATTCTAACTGAAGAAGTTTCTGAAGCAGGCAATTATCCCTTTATAAAAAGCACATGACTATAAAGTTTCTTCACCTCCCGAACAGCAATACCAAATTTAGACACTATGGAATTTTAGAATCCTTTTTATCTCTTCAAAATGATATTAAAATGGAAGTGCTTATTTAACTGTCCCTTTATGGCTCAAAAGCAATTACCTGAAAGGGGAATTGCGAGCACTTAATAATCCTTAGGAGGCTCCAGACATTTAATTTTTCCCCACGGCCCCCCTGCAATGTAAAGGCACATGAGCTGCTAGCACTCCGATTTGCAGAGGACTATCAGACCAACGTTGACGGGCAACCAATGTCAAGGTTGTGGGCAGGATTTAGCCCGTATGTAACACCCACACCAATGCCTATGCAGTGTGTGCATGCGTGTGTATTGAGTATGTTTACTTTTTCCTAATAGAGAAGCTAGGCCCTATGTTGCAAAGAGCAAGGGCTTTATAGATTCCATTCAATTTTATTTCAACTCATTATTTGAGTGGCCTTGTTTCTAAAATGGGACAATGACACTAGTTCTCATAGTGTTGTTCAGGAAATGAAGTAAGAACCCCAGGGCTTGGCCCATGGTGAGGGTGGGAGTGTCTCTTTCCTGTCCCCTCCCTCAGCTGCGTTACAAATCTGCTCCAGGTAGGTAATTATCACTGGCTGTTGGGGCAGCAGGGAGATAACGTGCCCAGAAGAAAGTTCACTTTTTCCAGACTATAATCTTTATAGGCTGCCAGGGTCACACATACAGTGGTTAGGAAGGAAATAGTTACTGATACTGCCTGAGTAATTTTTGAGCTTAGACACCTGGGTGTTCACCTGGTTCAAATCCCTCATGTGTCAGATAATAGTGCTCGTAAGTGGTGACCGAGCCAGGATTCACGCCCAGTTGGTCAGGTTAATTTTTCTCCTACTCATGGTTTAGACACACATCCTTATTTTAGTCCTTTCTAAAGGTATCATTCTATAACTCTGATATCTGCACCTGTGAAAATCATAAAGTCAGCACAACAGTGATACAGTAAATGATGCAATTTCAAAAATATTAGGTTATAAAAATTCTTTTTATGCTATAACTCTGAGGTTTTTACTATGTGGCAGGCATTATATGCACGTTCTCACTCGAGCCCCACAACAATTCGATGCTGTCAAGACCATTATTATCACCACTTTACGGATGAGAAAACTGAGGCTGGGAGATACTGAATGGCTTGCCAAGGTCACACTGCTGGGAAGCAGCGAGTTGGGGCCCCAAAGACAAAGCGACTGGCTCCCCAGTGGGCTCAGATAAAACAGCTCAAGCCAGACAATATTGTAACATTTCCATTTAGTCTTAGAGCTGCTTCTCTTGCTCCTTAGCATGTTTAAGGATCTTGAAGACAACGAAAGTGTATCGTCTGTATAATAACTACCAAATTCTGCTGATTTAACAGTTGCTAAATGGTCAAATAACATACATCCATAATTTGGTGAGTTAGAAGAATTGCTCTCCTGTGAATAAAAGTGTTAGTGCATTAGCAGTAGCTGAAAAATGATTGTCATTCACTAAGCACTCTGGCATGAGACAGAAATAGAGAAATGCCTTCTAAGAAAAACATAGCTTGGCAAAGAAGCTCTCCAGGGTGCTACCTCTTCCTAGTCACGCCTACTCCCTTCCCACCCACCACCTCAAAGCCCGGAAAGTGAGAATCTGTTCTCCTACTCTATAATTTTGCCGTTTTGTGAATAATATATAACTGACAGCTTACAATATGTGACATTCTGAGATTGGGCTATTTTAACTCTGCTTAATGCCCTTGAGATACATGTAATACATTCAAGCTGTTACATGTAAATAGTTTGTTTCTTTTTATTGGTGAGTTGTAATCCATGGTATTGATATACCACAATGTATTTAACCATTCACCTGTTGATGGGTATTTCGTTGTTTTTTTTTCTAGTTTTTGGCTACAAACAAAAACTACTATAGACTCTTGTGTGCTGGTGTTTATGTCAAAATAAGTTTTGATCTTTCTGGGAAAAATGAACAGAAGTGCAATTGCCGAGTTGCATGGCGAGGGTATGTTTAGTTTTTTAAGAAACTGCGGAACTATTTTCCAGAGTGGCTGTACCAGTTTTAGTGCAGTGTAAAAACTTTACTTCTTTTAAGTTTCTTTACCTTTTCTTTAAGTATTTCCTTTATGTACATTGGGAACCACATCAGACAGTGTAATGTTTTTGCTTCAACTGTCAAATACAATTTAGAAAACTCAAGAGGAGAAAATGTCTGTTGTATGTAAGCATATTTTTTCTCTTTCTGTTGTTCTTTCCTCTTTCCTGTTGTTTCAGGATTCTTCCTTTAATCATTTCTTTTCTGTTCCCCGAACTTTGTTTAGCCATTCTTTTAGAGTCTGCTGGTGACAAAACTCTCAGTTTTCCTTCATTTGAGAATGTCTTGATTTCTCCTTCATTTCTGAAGTACATCTTTACAGAATATAAAATGCTATATTGACATTTCTTTTCTTTCAACACTGGAAAAAAATGCTGTGCCACTTCCTTCTGGGCTCTGTGGTTTCTAATGAGACATCTACTATCATTTGAATTGCTTTTCCCTCATAGGGAAGGTGTTACTTCTCACAGCTTTCAAGATTTTTTGTCTTTGTTTTTCAGAAGTTGATTATGACATGTCTTGGCCTGGATTTTATAGTATTTTTTTTTAATTTTTTAAATTTAAAAAAAAATTTTTTTTTTAATTTGGGGTTTAAACTAAACCCCAAACTTCTTGAATCAGTGGGTTTGTGTCTTTTGCTAAATTTGGGAAATTTTCAGCCATATTTCTTTGAATATTTTTT